GCTGTCAGAAAAAAGGCTACTGCCTGCTGTTGCAGCAAATGTAGGTGGACTTGGGCGACTATTAGAAGGAATCTAAAATGAAAGGGAACATAAAACACTCCATTAGAAATTTAGAAGGACACTGAATACAAGTATTGGTCAGTAATAAGTGTGTACCTTTCCAACTGTCATATCAATTGGTCCTGCATGCTCAAGGGTGGCTTGGTGGTGGCATGGAGGTGGCTGATGATGACGAGGAAGAGCAGCACGGTGATAAGGTTGAGGTGGGTGAGGAGGATACGAGAAGGCAGCATGTTGGTGGTGGTTCATTTGAGGTTGAGGTGGTTGAGGGGGGTGAGGGACCGTGACATGTTGATTGAATTGAGGTTGAGGAGGGGTTGGGGGTGGGTTAAGGAGCGCAAGTGGCTGTGGTGGTTGAGGTTGTGGGGGTGGGGGGAACAGGGGAACAGTTGTCGGCCCAATTGGTGGCGGAATGTTTGGGTTGTACAAAGCCACAAACAGTTCCTCTGTTGTGGTGCTCGTAGTACTTGTGACCTGCGTGTACAAGAAATAGCTTAGCTTGTTACTTGATAATTAAGTCCAAAGTCATTGGAAATTACAACTAAATTGAATTGGGACGCTATTGGTTCTTCAGAGTAACTGGTAGGAACAGATATTGAGCCGAATCAATGGCTAAGTAACAGTCTAACTTTATAGAAGTCGCAAACAAAGTGCAGAGCAGTCATACAACATCAACATAAGAGGGTGAAAGGTGCACAGTAACCCCGGATTATCCAACTAATGAAGAGGTTAGGAAACACGACGTTAAGGCACAAAATAGGTCAAAAGCATGTTCGGACGGAACATCTGGCTTACTTCATTTAACAAATATAAAAGATCACGTAAACGAACTTAAGTTGGGAAGAAAAACGCAGTAGAGACCCGGGACCATTCTCAGAGCCATAAGCTGGCCTTGTCTTACATGCCTCCCGTTTTTTTGAGGAAGCGTCTTGTTTAAGAAATGTCCCTTGCATCAACTCACCTTTCTCACAAACTCGAAGGGCTGCTGTTGGTGGTTCATGGTGAAATTATCAAAAAACAATCAAAAATCAATCAATCAATCAAAGCGCTGCTGCTCACTGCTCACTTCTACACTCGACACGACACGACACGATGGTGGAATGCGTGGAAACAAAAGGAGGTGAGCTTAACAGTTGTGACAACCATACCTATAATTTATATAAAATGTTGAAATGATTACATCATACAAAAAATGAAAACCAGCATCTTTTGTGGTGCTGAAATTTAACTTACAAACCTCCACATTTCATTTTTTCTGTATCTCGACGTATTTCTGATATAACGGAGTTAGAAAAGCATTGAGACTTTCATAAATGTTCTGTTGCCTGTCTGATGCTTGACGCGCATGCGCTGTGGATTGTCTAGGATTTTCTAAAGGTAAAGCTTCGATTATCAGCTTCGGTGTCATAGTTTATGTATGACTATACTATTTTACTTTTTTAAAGTACCCTCCGGAACAGACGTGCCATTTTGAATTTTCCACATTATTCAACTAAACCGTTATTTGGCATTCCCTCCGCATGCAGCTTTGAGAGCGATCTCCCGGCTGATTCTGGAAGCATCCGGCAGCCAGCAGCCAGCCAATCAGCGCCGTTGCCATCTTGTGCCATCTTGTTCCTCCGTACCGTAGTCGTTGGTGTTCGAAGGATACTTCTAACTGCAGTCGTAATTCAGTCAACAAATAACTACTATCATGGACAGCAATACTATTGAAAGTGAGTTTAATATGATTAATATGATATGCGCACATATTTTTACAATGTAAGAAAACGAGCAGCTAAGTCGAGCTAGTGGTCCGATTCTTCTTGTCTCGTCACTTGCACTGCAGGTTATTAGGCTTTTATTACGAATACAAAGCATCCCTGCCTGTAAACTTCTTCGAAAAATTGTATTGTGATGGAAATATCTTCCGTATGTAGCATAATTATTGTGGACTGAACGTAATTTTGGCTACGACTAGGCTGAGACTTGACAACTTGTGTTTGGCACTCTCCTGTTACAGGCGTCGGTTTTACTGCCAAAATACGTCGCCTTTTAAGTGTTACAAAAATTCTTAAACTCAGTGTCACATCAGTTCACTTATTACATATCTAAGATGCTTGTCCCTATTATTTGTTTGATATGTTTCATAATGGCCTTAATCGTTAAATACTGTGTGGTTAAACTTGTTTGCAAGTCCATCCTACAGTATTTTGGAAGTTGTCACATCTAGTA